TTTCAATTTGAACATTTCCCGGCCAAAACCCTAGTTGCACAAACTACCCCAAATCGATCCACGAGGTACCCGTGCTTCCCTCATGAAGAATCTACGGGTTGATAGCATCCGCATTCCACCGGAGATGATCGAATTTGGACTGTGAGAGTTGGTCGGATCTTTTAGTGAGTTTCGTTCATTTTTAATGTTTAACTGTTGCTTATATGTTTGGTTTTATGTGTGATTGGATGCATGTTTTCATTTAGTTACATATTGATTTTCTGCTTTCTTTTCTTTTAATTCTTTAATTTTTTGCGTCCTTTCTTGCTCTTTAGCTGTTAACGCTAATTAGGTTAAAAATCCGTTTAATTCATGTGTGTTGGTTGTTAGTTTAGTTTAGTTCATACAATAATTCATAAATCCTTCAGTGTTTTGAATTTTAGTTTGTTAATTGTAAATCAGGGATTTTGTTGACGATTGTTTGCAAGCTTAATGATTTGTTTAGAATTCTTCAATAGTTTACTGATCTCATTAGTTTATTGGATTAGTTCAATGTTAAGGCTGTAGTTAATTTTCATTAGGTTAAATGAGGTTGGGTTTAGTTGAATCTAATTTGTTAAATCTCAGAATAGTATGAGGTTAGTTTAAGGAGTTCAATTGAGGAAAGAATTTACTAGAAAGTTTCTAGGTGGGGGGTCAAAGTGACAATATATAGGGAAAGTAGTAAGGTAACTTGAAGAAGAAGTCACAATTTTAGGGACCAAATGTAAAAACCTGAAATCTGAAGATTCACCCTATTGTGCTATAAAAAGGGCATTCACATGCCTCATTAACAAGTTTTGGAGCTCAAAATTTCCCCCAGAAAGCTCTCCCTAGTTTTTCAGATCTAGTTTTGAAATTCGCATTCAAAACCAAAAACAAACAGATAAATACAATAAAAAAAATCCAAAAACAAACTGTTTCATTGCCTTCCTTAGGTTATTTTCAAATTCAGCTTTAATTCAGTCTTCTGGTTCATTTCAAAACCAAAAATAGTTCGAATTCTCTGTTTCTGTGCAATGTTTTTGAAGTCTGAAAGTATTTGGAGTCATGTGAGCACTGTTGATAGTTAATTAGAGTCACTGCAGGGTTATTCCTTGGGCTATTGATTCCCTGGGTTATTTCTGGCTATCTGGTGCTGTTGTGGGCTGATTTATTGAGTTTGCTTGGTTTTTCAACTCATTTCTGAACTGCTGAATCTGTGTTGGACTGTTATTACTCGTTCATTGACTGTTGCTGTGGTTTTAAATTGGTTTCTGAGTTGCTGCTGAAGTTGTTACTGCTGCTAACCTCTCCTTTTTCTATTTCAATTCAAATTCCAGGTACACTCCTTAAATTGATGTAATTCTGAGTTGAAGCTGAAATGAAACCCATTCACTCGTTTGGATCATGTCTGTCAACACTTAGACATATGTTGATTGTTATGTGGTTGCTTAATCTAGCTTTACATTTGTTGAACTAGGATTCTTTAATTAGGTGTATCTCTACTGATTTGTACTGTTTAAACTCGTATTAGACTGTCATGGACTGATTTAACTTGTAGTTATTTAGCAATAACTTTAGTATAGCTAACACTCATCTTAGTTTAACATTTTTCTGTTAAAAGTTTAGAAATCAGATAGTTTAAGTGTGTGATGGACACGTCCATTTTAATTTTGTGCTAAACATGCATCTCGAGCATTTTTTTGTACTACACTAATCAACATCAGCAAACTTGTTATTGAGGTCAACTCCTTAGTCTCATCGAGTTCACTGCTTCAGCATAAGCATTAATAGTTTTAGGTTGGTAGTTAATATCAGCAATTTTGCTTTAAATCAAGTAGGCATCATCAGCTCACCAACTGGAAATCAACACTCTAGCGAGAATGAGCAACAGTAGGGAGTTTGAAGCTTAAATTGGTTTGCAACACGTTTAGGATCATGTTAATGTGTAATTTCAGTTTATTGTCCAGAAACCTTTGAGTTAATGTTAATTGTTAATTGATTTTAGTATGTAAATTCAGCAGGGTGTTGTTATCAATTGATTCACGTTTCAGTGTAGTGTAAAGATCTGGGCTTACTAGCCTAGTTCACGTGATTGAAGTTCGATTCCTTTAATGCACGGGCCCATGTCCAGTTACAACTCCCTTACGTGCCTGGGCCAGAGGTTTTGACGAACTAGCCTGACTCGTATGGGCTCGGGTACATTTTATCCTTGTTGGGCTTATCTTGGAGCCCAATGGCTGGACTGTGGTGCAGAATTATCATTTGGTCCAATAACAAATTAATTAGGACTATTCCTTTCATTGTTAGAGACAAAATAAAAATAGAAAATTATAGATTGCTTTAGGATTGCCTTTTAATAATAAAATGAGATGAGCCTCGCAAACAAAATAAATAAATCGCGGGGCCCTCGACAAATGGTTATATAAAAATACTTAGAATTCGGGACGGGCCGTTTAGTGAATTTCACGGCCTTCCCCAAAGATAATAACGCGTTAGTCTTTTTAGGCGCGTATTTTAATAATTTACCTTCCTAAACTCGGGTGCGCATTTATGTGACCCAGATCCAAATCTCAACGAAGTTGAAATGTGTCAACAACCATGGGTGCAATTGATGTGACGTGGTTCGAGACACGTTTTCACGACGTTGCAATTCTCATTAAAAATAATAATAAAAGCGGTTTAAAATTTAAAAGCACATAAGCTAAAACATGTTTTGAAATCAGATAAAATCCAAATACAACAGTTGAGCGACCGTGCTAGAACCACGGAACCTGGGAATGCCTAACACCTTCTCCCGGGTTAACAGAATTCCTTACTCGGATTTCTGGTTCGCGGACTGTTAGCAGAGTCATATTTTCCTCGGTTCGGGATTCAATCGGTGACTTGGGACACCATTAATCTCCCAAGTGGCGACTCTGAATATTAATAATAAATCCCGTTCCGATTGTCCTTTAAGTGGAAAAACTCCTTTATGCCCTTGCGGGCGTAGTAAAAAGGAGGTGTGACACTAACTTTCTGCAAAACAAGTCAAATCAACCTAGGGACCTCCGAATTCAATTTCGGGCATACGCCCAAGTCCACTCAAGTTTTCTTCAAATTTTTACATAAAAACTTTTCGGAAAAAGACATGGATCATGCACGCAAATAAAAAAATATCAAATAGAGCTAATAGAGGTCTCAGAACACGAAAATAAGGAATTGTACTCAAAATGACCTATCGGGTCATCACACAAGATATATCTGATTGACGCTCGCAGGCCTCGGAGTCACCTTCTACTATTGTCTTTTCTACTGTTTATCTTAACATCAAACAATATTGTATTTTTGAGATTTCTAGTGTATTTCTTAGAGCTTATGACTTAATTTTACCGGTTTTGAGGGATTTTGTGATTGTTATTCAGTATTGATGGTATCATGAGATTTATTAGGTTGATTTAATATTTTTAGTCGTTATTTGTGTTAAATTATCTGGTGTGCTATGCTTACCTAGTCTTAGAGACTAGGTGCCATCACGATTACCTCATGTGGGATTTTGGGGTCATGACAGTGCACCTGATTATCTATATTCTCTATTTCTTGGTTGTCTCTTTGCTTTTACATGTGTATGAATTGAACATGTTATAGAAAGTGAGTATTTCGTCAAAACTTTCTCACTATTTCATCTGAGTTAGACTTGATACTTACTAAATACATGTTAATTTTTGTACTTATATTATACTTTTACATATTTTTATGCAAATTCAGGTATTGATCTCAGCGGTGTCGAGGAGGGTGCCTAGGAGCTTGACTTGGAGAATTCTTAGTGAGTTACTATGTTGATTTGCAGCAGTCCTCTTCCTATCTATTCTACTATTTCTTATTTCAGATAGTGCTTTTCTATTTGAGACTCAATTATATTCTAATTAGTAGCTCATGGCGAATTGGTGTATTATTTCTGCACTTGATGCTCTGTTCATACTTGTTCCTATATTTATAAATATTTCGACCGTTAGACATCTCTTATACTGCTTGTTATAGTTACTTTTATGTGTCGGTTCCTAATAGGTTGGGTCAGACGCCATCACAATTCCGGTGAGATTTGGGTCGTGACATTATGCTCATGCATGAGTGAATAAATATCATGGCTCACTTCTATAGGAGGTTTGGGAGAAATAAAAGAATGAGTATCATTCTGTAGCCGTATGAATATATCCTTGGTCGCCTACTTATCGTACGTCAAGAATATTTTGAAGGCCTTATTAAGAACTATTAAAGGGAAAATGGTCAGCCAAGACAATGATCTTGGCTATAATTATTTTGACCATAACATAATAACAATAATATTCTCAGTGAAAGAAATATTCATCATATGGATAGTGTCACTAAATGTTTGATAGTACAAAATTAATTGAGAGCTTCGTACAATTTTATTACTATCTAGTAGAATAATATTGGCAACTAATGATGACATATTATTATAAATCTCAAAGAACTTATTAAGTTTCAAAGGCATTATGCCAACACGATTACTATATTGAAACCACAAATAATGGAAAAATATAATGGCTTGATATTGCTACAATCAAAACGGATAAGAAATATGTACGTGAAAGGTTACCTGCCTTTTTATGTTTGTACTACAATATTAGCATGGTGGAATTCTATGTCGTAGTAAACTTGAATTTTACTGATACAAATTATTTTAACAAGTTAGCATGACCGATTTGACCATTCGGATTATAGTAACATGCACAAAATGATTGAGAATTCACATTACATATATTGAATAAATATGAGATAATTGTCTTGTACTCATTGTTCTCATGATAAATTAATTATTATACCAACTAATGTTGAAACCATGATTTCTAATATCCAAAAAATTATTACTTTTTTAATAGGAGTATTAAGAATACAGTTGAAAATAATTACTAATAAATTTAATTTTAAATTCTTAATGTGACAATTATTTGAGACTTTTTTTTCCAGATAATGTGATTTTTAATGAGAGACAGAAAACCCCCTTTACAACATCCAAACTTTCAGTTCAGCCAAGCATTTCCCTTCTACTCCCATGGCTACTGCTATTTCTTTAGCATTTTCTTTAGACCCTCAATCTCACCACAACTACCATCACCATTTTCACCATAATACCAACTTCAGTTCACATAAAGCTTCAATCTTTACACAAAAAGATCCATTCCCTTTTCTCATCTCATCAAATTCACGCACTCCCAATCTAATTATCCCACTTTCAACTTCCCAATCTTCTTCTTCTTCTTCCTCAATAGAAACCCCACTTCAAACAGGTAAATTTCTCACTAACCAAGAGCTTGAAAAGCTTGAATTTTTGGAGAAATACAGGTATTTTCAAGAATTGGGATCTGGGGTATTGTGGGTGCGTGTGATGAGGGAAGAAGAAATGGATGTTACTGTTTGGTTGTTAGCTGAGTCTTTTGCTGAGTCAATGTTGATGCCTAAAGGATACGTGAAATTCTTGGCATACTTAGTGAAGCAGTACATGATTGAAAGAAGAGCAATGATGCCTCATACTGCAACACTTCTTGGATTCTATAAAGAAAATGGAGAAGATTCAGATTTGCAATTGGCTGGAACTGTGGAAGTGTGTTTTGATAAAAGGGGTGCTAATGCTAATCCTCCCACACCTACACCCCCCAAGAACTCTCCATACATTTGCAATATGACTGTAGAGAAGCTGCTTAGGAGGTAGGGTTTTTAACACTTTCTTAGTATTGTACTTTGTTTCTTGTCTTACTTCTCAACTGATATTAGGTAAAGTAGATCCCAGTCCTGCTCTAAGTTTTCTATTTCAATCATTGTAGCGATGGTGTGTGCAAGCTGGCCTGGACACCATGGTTATAAAAAAAAAAAATAGACGATCAGGATGCACAAGATATCATTTTTTTCAGTATATAATTCTTTCCTTATGTTTTTTCTGTTGTGAACTTTTAACGTATACTTGGTAACTTATTTCATAAAATTTTTGTGGTATAACTAAGTCTAAATAAATGGAAACATAGTACTTATATAGGAAAAGTTGATGAATATTATGTCATTCTTATTAGAAGCAGTAAATGGTTGCATCATGTTGGTCTATTATTGAGTTTTGGTATTTGTTATTATGATTTTCCAGAAGGGGCATAGGTTGGCATCTGTTGAAAGCAAGTGAGGAACTAATTTCTCAAATGAGTTCTTCTAGAGAGGTTTACTTGCACTGTCGAATGATTGATACTGCTCCACTGAACATGTATAGGAAAGCAGGGTATACCATTGTTGAGACAGACAACCTATTTATCCTGTTGACATTGCAGCGACGCAAGCACTTAATGTGCAAAGTTCTTCCAGATTCAGAAAGTTCTTTTGAAGTTGATCAACCTACTTCTTCAATTGACACGTGAACATTGAAACACAGACCAATTTTTAGGTACATTATTTTCCATTGTCAAACCCTTTTTGATCTCTTTACATGAAACTTTTGTTCTTTTGGCTATATCTGTGGACCTTCTGTTTTGTTTGTACATGTACATAATCAAACTTTTACCAGTGTTATCTTTCCTTTTTATCATCTGAACTCGAGCTGAAACTTAGATTTTAAACTTTAATATTGTAATTGTGATGAACCATTACTTCTTATTCTTCCATAATGTGAACTCTGTTTGAAAACCGGGTGATAGTTGTCTTCAGCTTTCTAAACCTGTATTTGTATATTGTCAGAGGTTAACTTTTCCCGGTATTACGTCAAACTTAAGAAATCTGTTTGTAGAAGCAAAACAGCCAAGTAAATGCTTAGTTTTCATTGTCTGAAGTGTGAGGATGAACCATGATATACGTAACTACATAATTTAACAGTAAACTTAAGTAATCTTCTGATGAAATTCAGTTCATGTGACCGCTTCGCATGCAAAAGGCACGGGGTTCCCCGCACCTCCTCCTAATATTAACGATATGACAGCTGTGCTCGTCTTGGACTTGGCCGTGCCCTTTGGGTCGGCCAGGCCATGCGACATCGACGTCAATGAGGAATGCCCTCCCCAACCCCACTTATGTGGGATTACACTGGGTTTGTTGTTGTTGTTTAGACCAGAATTATTTGGGAAAGAAATGCATGCATAATCAGATCTCTGCACTAATGTATTTGAGCAGAGGTGGGCTGGCCAGAAAAATAATAAGACATACACAAGAATACTGTCTTCCTAATCTTTAATACCTCCTTGTTTCACTCAGGGTCGCCCTTTCTATCTATTAAATTATTAAGAAAACTTGTGATCTTCTGGTTGAATCTGGATGTTCTTTTTATTACTTTGACAGCTTACAGTATCCTACCATACTCATTACTCTTTCCAATGTACATTTGAAACTTTTAGCTGATATTGTAGCTTTTGAATTGGAACAATCAATCTTGGTGCATATTGCGATTAGATTTTGCTTCATCCATGTCAATGTCAGAAGGTTTCAGATCATTCTGAATGTATGCATAGGCATACTTAGCCCTTTCATATTCGTGTGGAGGATCAGCTGCAGTTCTTTGACGCAGTCTACCATTGAGGGCCTTTCACTACTGTCGGCTCGCACACAACGAGAGGCTAGATTAGCAAACATGGTTACGGATTCCATAGTGTATGAGCTCCTGTTAATCTCAGGGTCAATCACCTTGCGCAGCTTCTTCTTATCATTCAATATATGCCTGACCTGTGATATCCTCATAGCAGTTAATGTCCTATACTGAAAAAATTTGGAACCAATTTTCATTTTTGCTGCTATGATAATAATGTTGGTCCTTACCTGTAGTACTAAATTCTGATCATTTGGTCCAAGGGTGAGGTCAACGGCCCTGCGTCCGGTCAAAAGCTCCAGCATAACAACACCAAATGCGTAAACATCACTTTGTAAAGTGAGTTTTCCCGTCTGTCCGAAAATAATATTAGCAAGGTTTTTCTGAAAGAAAGGTTAATGAGGAATAAAAAAAATTTCCTCATGATAAACCCAATGTTTACATTTCAAGAGCAAGGATGAAGCATGAAGTTTCTTTACATGCAATCGCATGTTTAGAACAGAATCGAAGTAAAACTAGTCGTAGTTCCTTCTAGCAGGTAGAGTGTGATACTATTACTTGTTTTCTAATATTGATTAGAAAGAAGAAGAAAAAGAGACTGACCCATGCGGCCATGCATATCTGCATGCTATTTATGGTAGAAAGTAGAGGAAGGCAGCTAATTATTATCCGAATTGACATTTGTTATCAGCATCTTTTGAAAACGTTCATCGCTTTTAAGTGACTAAGGGGGAAGAGAGTGGGTTAAGTAGCTCCAACTCTGTAAAGCTAGTCAAATAATTTGATTAATTCAATTCATTATCTCCTCTTACTGTTTGTTTAGTTTCTTGATTTTGGGGGTGAACATTGTCTAAGAATGTCTCCACTATCCTAAGGTTTTGTTTAGTGGAGGGAAAACATGCTTAATAGTTGATACGTCAATACCAGCTTGTTGAATGTTGAGTAACTTAGATAAAAGCATTTGCCTTCACTTCAAATAAGATCATAGCATTCAAGTTGGATTTGCTCAAGTTCGATGAAGCTTAATCTGCGTTGCATTTCTGTTGGCATTGCAAGGGAACATACTCTTTTAAAGTAATCCTGTTGGATTGAGTTCTGATAAACGTGAAATTAGCTAATTTACAAACTTATAAGGTAGGATGGTTTCAGTTGGTTGAAGATCTATTCTGAACCTGAGACTGCTTTTTCTCTTTATGTAGCAGAGTGTCAAACTGTTGAGCATTATAGTTATTAAAAAAAAAAAAACATAACCATACAATAAATTTCATCCCTGAATAATGGACGGAATGTTCAGACAATATTTACATGCCATATTTAATTCTGAGAGAAAGGAATCTAGAAGAACAAAGAGCACTACAATTGTTTAGAGGGAAGACGAATTATCTATGTGATTTCTTCTGTAGTTTTTCCCGTACTTAGCTTATTCTCCTACTCCTTTTTTATTAGTGTTTTTTATGTGCTTATCAGAAATATCATTAGTCAGCAGCCACTACCTATGAATTCTGTTTCCGATTTTTAACTCTTTGTTCGTTTTGTAGTTTGCTTCTCGCTTTTTGTATAGTAATATATTGGCTATTTCTTCTGGTGTTTCTTACTTTCTAGAACTATCTCAATTTATGGCTTCTTCTTGTCTTGTTTCCAATTTCTCGTTTACTTTGCTTACCTCCTTATGTTTGTTGTAACAAAGAAAATGAATTCTAAATAACAATATAACATCCAGTTCTATTGAAACTTCAAACCTAGATTTGATATGCAAGCGACTCACCAGTGTGTATTCAGGGTCAAAATAGCCAAAAGTACCAAGTACCCTAGATGTCATGCATGTTTCCTGGCCTTCCGGCATCAACTTTGCAAGACCAAAATCAGATATCTGCGCAAGCAGATGAGAATTGATTATTCGTAAGTTCTATGAAGAGATCCCCTCCCACCAGAAATCAGAATTAAATTGACATAGATGAAGTACTCGCGTACCTTTGCTTCATAATTAGTGTTCAAAAGAATGTTGGTGGATTTGAAGTCCCTATGTATTATAGGAATCCCAACAGCTGAACTTGAATGAAGATATGCAAGTCCTCTTGCTGCCCCAATAGCTACCTTTAGCCTTAAGGGCCAATCCATCTTCACTTCTCCAATTCCTGCAGTTTGGTTGAAACATAGTTAAGCATCAAAGGTCAGTCTTTGGATTAAGGGAAACTTCACGCTTAGAAACCAACCATTTAAATGATCTTGAAGATTTCCCTTGTGCATATACTCATAAACTAGAAATCTGTGCTTCCCATCTGCACAATAGCCTATTAGTTGTACAAGATGGGGATGATCCAGTCTGCTCAAAATATCGACTTCCACACGAAACTCACGCTCTCCTTCTGCCTCTTTGAATGAAGGTAGATCCATTTTCTTGATTGCTACAATCTTCCAATTGGCAAAAGAATCAAATTTTATATTAGTTAGTCTGATTTATCAAGCTTCTAGTGTTGTTACACAAAACGAGACATAGGAAACAGCAGAAAGTAAACCGCCAATGTGAAATTTTTTCTCCCTTAACTTGTTTGTCTTACCTCACCAGACCGCAGTGTGCCCTTATAAACTCGACCGAATCCTCCTTTCCCAAGTAGATTGTCATCACTGAAATAATTTGTTGCCGCCTCCATTTCTTTGAGTGTGAAAACTGATGATCCATGGTGTCTTTTTGCAGGTGGATTCTGGTCTTCAATTTTCCAACACTCCACAGATTTATATATCCCTGAAAATAAGCATATCTCATATTTTACAACATGCAGAAGCTGTTTACAATATTGCACAGGCTATTATAATAGCATGAGAAACATTTTCTGGAATATGAAGAAGGAGGATTCAAGGCTGAAACATACAAGGATTTAGCTGATCCTCAGACCTGCTTCTTCGTCGCTTGTTCCACGCCGCCACCAAACCAAAAGGCATGATAACTGTTCTTTCAATAGATTCAGATGCTATCTTATCGATCAGAATGATGTATTACATTTGATAAAGCAGTCAGCTTGAATGGAAAAGAATACAAATTTCTGAGAAATTCATGATAAAAAGCGAAACATACTTGGATACTACAGAATAATTAGGCAATGAAAAAGAAAACTAGCTGAAGAGGAGAAAGAAGAAGAATGAGAAAATAGATATAAAGTATAGGAAGTAGGAAATAGAGATGTATGAGAATCCTGCTGGAGTATGTATAAAGCAAATGAGAGGTTAGCTTATGACAAATACTTGACACTCTAAACACTGTTATCACCCAACAACCTAAGCTTCTCTCACTTGAAGGGTAAGAAAAAGCAAGAGATGGGAAAAAAAGGTGGTATTAGTTGCTTACCTTCAAATGAGAAGTGGGTTGAGGGGTATTCTTGAAAAGGAAAGAGAAGCTGCAATTTAACATAACATTCTCTTTTTTCTTTATCATTTTTCTATGCATTGCAAATGGTTCTTGTTGGTTGGTTGGTCATTTTCTTAGATTTCTATAATCTTTCCCCTCCAAACTCTTGTTTCACTATTTCATTGATGTAAACACTTTGGTTTTGACTGTTGGTGAATCCATACTTTTTGCTGTTGGTAGTTTTTTCATTCTTATTTTTACTGCTGGTAAAAATTGCTGCTTGACCATGGTTTACTACTCACTATAATGACCTGGTGCTGTATTTTTCATTCTTTAGTGTTGGTCTTACTGTATATTTTTCATTCTTATAGTGTTGGTGATTTTTTATTTTTCATTATCGACAATTAAGATTTATCAGTGCTTTTCCAATCCGAAGTATATTCACTTATTCTGTTGGATCAAGAAATGTTAGAAATATTCATTGACTATATCACGAAACATTACTAACATGAAAAGTTAGCAACTTTAGAATGTTGTCTTTTCAATTTTAAATTTTAAGCACCTTTAAAGGATAATCTAAAGGGTAAAACACAACATTATATCGCATTATTTTTTTCAAAACGATGTCGGTGTCGAAATGATACAATCAAAGCAATCTTTCTCATCATAATTGCTAAGAGTTGAATGCTTGTAGTTCTTTTATTTCCCCAAATCAAGTAGCTTAAAATTTAATGATCAAAAGTGAATTTTCAAAACTATATGAAAGATTTTCTTTAAGCTAAATGCATAATCTTCAAGAAACCTTAGAAAGGTGAATTTTGTGGTGTACTAAAGAAGTGGGACATATCTTTTTTGTGCTCTTCTTGCATGTGAGCTAAAGCACAGGCCAAATCTCGTTTACTGAAAGGCGCAAAGTTGATAATAATGACGACATCATACGAGTAAGGAAACCATAGAACCTAGGGAAATTTTTATTTTTGGTGCTAATTTCGTTAATAAGTAATTGAGTATAGTGGTAATTCGACTGTTTCCACTTTTTGTTTCCATAAAAATAAAAAATTTATAAAAAGAAAACCTGTGCTTAGTTCGTTTTGTTTGCCTACGCTTATCTCACGATGTTACATCGTCATATGTCAAAAACAGAGTTAGTTGGAAATAATATTGAGCCGCAGGTTAAACTTTTTCAATAGTGACCAATTTTCATGTTCAATTTAATATTTTGTTTGACATATTCAGCGGCACTAATTCAAATGAGCAAATCGTAATTAGTAATGCAATCAAAATGTAATTGCTCGCAAGAGCTTCAAGAAGGACAAAAGGTCAACCAGGCGTTCAATCAAAATCCAAATAACATGATGCTAATCAACATATTCATGAACGAAAAAAGATACATATAGTGTCTATTCTTATAAAATTAAAAGCAATATAACAAAACAAATTAACAAGAAGCTGAGATATGAAATGAGATAGACAACATTAAAATTTTGTCACGATTCCAACCAATCAAATTGGTTGCTTAAGTTGCAACAAGATTTTCAAGTTGCTGACAAGACATCCATACAAGTTACTTCATAATATTTGTTAATAATATCAATTTTATTTTGTAAAAGTAAGAAGCAATTAATCAATTTGAGGCCTCTTACATTTTAATCTAGCTCTGATACCAGTTGTGAGCACCTAATTTTTGACCATATTTGGATTTTCACTCACCTTTTAGTATTTAAATAGTTTTTAAGTTTAATCTTGGTATTTTAGCTTGTATTTCACCTTTTTATAGGTTTTATTTGATAAAATTGAAAATCACAAAAAAAAAAAGATCTAATTTGGACTAGTTCTCCTAAAGTTTTGCTTTGTTCAAACGTCCAAGTCATGGCCCAAATTGGTCTAAACCTGAGTGCAATAGCCAAAAATCCATCAAATTTTCCCCTTAAAAAAACCCTACATCATTTTTAGGTCTCATGCTCTCATTCAAGAGAAGAAAAGGATTTTAATGTTGTTGGTAGGAGTTTGACTTGTACTGACTTCCCTCCCCTTCTCTCAACGTTCACTTTTCACGCTTCCCTTCCGTTTTCCGTCCAGATCCATCGTCGGCGTAGAGCAGCCCAGGTAAGTCTCTCTCTTTTCTTGCTTTCTCTCTCCTTCTGCCTTCTCCCCCCCTTCTGCGATCTCTCTCTCTCTCTCCGTTTCTTCTCCCCTTTTTCTAGATCTGGTCTTCCGGCAAACACCCAAACACCATAGACCAGTCTCCGGCAACCACGACCCACACAGGTAAAGACACTCAGTCCTCAACCAGCGGCACCAAAATCTCCGGACAGCCTGCATTTCTTCGGACTCTTTCAGGATTCCAAGGGCAGTAGTGATCAGTCATCGTCGTTGGGGACAGTAAGAAGATAACAAAGGGGCCAGGAACAAGGGCAGAACTTCAATTTTCACAGCATCAGGAGTATACCAAGCCGAAAGTCCAGGTCATATTTGCGGGAATTGGTACCTCCCGCCTCCTGTTTCTCTCCCTCTTATGTTTGTTGATTTGTTACCGTAGTAGTACGTAATTAGTATAGTCATTCTAGTAGTGGACCTATATTCCTATTTTTTTCATAGACTTCGGTAGGTATAGCGGCTATGGTTTGTAATGGCAGTGTAGGGGAGGGCGGGTGGCGGGGCGGGGGTTAAGGCAAGGGTCAGGGGGTGGGACGGGGTCCATAGGGGGTAAGGGGAGCAAGGGTGTATATAGGCTGAGAATTGGATCGTGGAATATAGGGACATTGACGGGTAAGTCTATAGAGTTGGCGAAGATTCTCCAGAAAAGGAAGGTCGGTATAGCTTGTGTTCAGGAGACTAGGTGGGTAGGATCGAAGGCGAGGAATGCCGACGGGTATAAGTTGTGGTACTCCGGAGGTGTGAAGGGCAAGAACGGAGTGGGTATTTTGGTGGATAAGGATCTTAGAGAGTCAGTGGTGGAGGTTAGGCGAGTGAGTGACAGATTGATGGCGATTAAGTTAGTAGTTGGAGGAAGCACTCTGAATGTCATTAGCGCTTACGCGCCGCAAGCGGGCTTGGACGAGGAGGTTAAAAGCGCTTTTGGGAGGTGTTGGATGAGGTCGTGCGGGGTATTCTGCCTACGTAGAAGTTATTTATATGAGGGTATTTCAATGGGCATATTGGGTCGTCTGCTGATGGCTATGCTGAGGTGCACGGTGGCTTCGGCTTTGGGGTTAGGAACGGAGGAGGTACGTCACTATTGGATTTCGCTAGAACTTTTGAGTTGGTGATCGTGAACTTTATTTATCCGAAGAAGGAGGAGCATTTGATTACTTTCCGTAGTATGGTAGCTAAGACTCAGATTGATTATCTTCTCCTCAGGAGGTGTGATAAGAGGTTGTGCGAGGATTGTAAGGTGATCTTGAGTGAGAACCTCGTGACACAGCATAGGCTCCTGGTGATGGACGTTGATATCTTGATAAAGAGGAAGAAGAGGTTTGTACGGGGGCACCTGAGGATCAGGTGGGGAGTCTTAACTAAAGAAAATGCGCAGGAGTTGGAGGGAAGGTTGGCGGCTATGGGAGCCTGGAAGAGTGGTGGGGATGCTAGCGTTATGTGGATGACGACGGCGGACTGTATAAGGGAGGCAGCGAGAGAGGTGTTAGGGGTCTGGAAGGGGTACTCAGGCGGGCACCGAGGCGACTGGTGGTGGAATGACGTGGTCCAGAGTAAAGTGGAAGCAAAGAAAGTGGCTTACCTTAAGTTAGTGGAGAGCACTGATGAGGAGCAGAGGAGAGCGAACAAAGAAAGATATAAGGAAGTTAGGAGGGAAGCGAAGCTAGCGGTCATGGAGGCTAAGATTGCCGCATTTGGGCGGCTGTATGAGGAACTGGGGGGTACAGGTGGGGACAAGAAGTTATTTCGGCTGGCTAAAGCGAGAGAGAGGAAGGCTCGTGATCTGGATCAAGTGAGGTGCATCAAGGACGAGGAAGGTCGGGTATTGATGGAAGAGGCCCAAATTAAGCAGAGGTGGCAGTCATACTTTCATAGACTTTTGAATGAAGGGGGGGGGGGGGTACAGAAATATCATGTTAGGGGAGTTGGGGCACTCCGAGAGTCACCAAGACTTTAGGTACTGTAGGCGTATTAAGGTGGAGGAGGTCGTGGGAACAACGCGTAAAATGAGTCGGGGAAAAGCGATCGGACCAGACGAGATTCTAGTTGAATTTTGGAGGTATGTGGGCAAAGCAAGCTTGGAGTGGCTGACTGAGCTGTTTAATGTTATTTTCAAGACGAAGAGGATGCCAGATGAGTAGAGGTGGAGTATGATGATTCTGTTGTACAAAAACAAAGGGGATATCCAGAATTGTAACAACTATAGGGGTATAAAGTTACTAAGTCATACCATGAAAGTTTGGGAGAGGGTGGTGGAAGGGAGGGTAAGGAGGGTGGTGTCTATATCAGAAAACCAGTTCGGTTTCATGCCTGGTCGCTCTACTACAGAAGCTATCCATCTTATCAGGATGTTGGTGGAACAGTACAGAGATAGGAAGAGGGATCTGCACATGGTGTTCATTGATCTAGAGAAGGCGTATGACAAGGTCCCTAGGGACGTTCTTTGGAGATACCTGGAGGTGAAAGGTGTGCCGGTAGCTTATATTAGGGCGATAAAGGATTTATATGATGGATCTAAGACTCGGGTTAGGACTATGGGAGGTGATTCGGCCCTTTCCAGTAGTTATAGGGTTACACAAGGGTCTGCGCTCAGCCCGTTCTTATTTGCCCTAGTAATGGACGCATTGACACACCATATTCAAGGGGAGGTGCCATGATGTATGTTGTTCGCTGATGATATAGTTCTGATTGATGACACGAGAGGCAGCGTTAATGAAAGACTGGAGGTATGGAGGCAGGTCCTGGAGTCTAAAGGTTTCAAGTTGAGTAGGACCAAGACGGAATATTTGGAGTGCAAGTTCAGCGATATGTCAGGGGAAGCAGACGGGGAGGTGAGTCTTGACTCGCAAGTCATCCCTAAGAGAGAGAGTTTCAGTACCTAGGGTCTATTATCCAAGGAGATGGGGAGATCGACGGGGATGTCACGCACCGTATCGGGGTGGGATGGATGAAATGGAGGTTA